GACCTTGAGCAATCCGCCCACCTCGGCCTCCCAGAGTGCTAGGATTACAGGCGTGAGCCACCGCGCCCGGCCAAATGGACTTAACATTTTGAAAATAGAATTTCTAAATCTTACCCCCAACTGCCACCCCAAATCTGGTAGTCCTCCTCCAGTTTTCCCCATCTGGGTAAATGATAATCAGCTGTTCAGGAAAAAGATTTAAAGTTATACTTGATTCTTTTCCTTCCTCACCTCCCACGTCAGTCCATCGGCAAGTTCTGTCGCCTTTGCTTCAAAACATGTGCCGAATCTGTCTGTTTATTTCCAACTTAACTATTTCACCCTAGTCTAGCATCTTATCCCACCCGCGGATCTTGGCCTGGACTCTTACTGGTCTCTGCATCTCCCCACAGCAGCCTGAGGGATCTTTAAAATATGTAGATCAGATCACATGTCCCCATCCCCTTGCTGAAAACCTGTCAGTGGCTTCCTACTGCACTTAGAATGATACGGACTCCTTACTCAGCTGGAAGGGCTGCCTTGCTCTCGCCCCAGCCCCTCTCTGATGTTCTTTCTTTTTATTTATTTTTAATTTTTACTATGGAAAAGACTAAACATATACAAAAGTAAGGAGACTATTATAAGGAACCCCTTTGCGGACCCATCAATAATTATTAACTCATGGTTAATCTTGTTTCTTCTTTATCTTCACTTACTTCCTCCCACCTGTGTCATTTTGAAGCAAACTCCAGACATCTTATCATTTCATCTGTAAACTGTTTCAACAGGTATAAGTGAAATCTTGTAGAAAAATAAAATGTAACCATAATACCATTATTATACCTAAAAATGTTAAGACCAATTCCTAGCGTTATCAAATATCAAGTCAGTGTGCTCGTTTTCAGTTGTCTCAATGTGACAATTGTTCACATTTGCCAATTTGGTTTTTCTTTTTTACTGTTTGTTTGATTCAGGATCCAAATAAGGTTCACACATTATGATCATCAATAGGCCTTTTTAATTCTTTTAGACTGTAGTTCCCCTCCAACTCTCGCTTTTTAAATTCCCCTTGCATTTTATTTGTTGAAGAAACTATTAATATTACAGATTATTTGTTAAGTAGTGATTCTTCGAGTCTGGGTTTTTCTGACTGCTACCTTTTGGTGCGGTTTAACATTTTCCTCTGTCCTCTATTTCCTGTAAATTGGTTTTTGGCTCTAGAGGCTTGATTGGTTTGATTTTTTTCCTTATTGGGGGGACAGATTATCTCATAGCAGTGGTGTAGCTAATCTTACCTCTCCTGTCCTTGCCCACCACTTAAGCCACACTGGCCTCTGTCCTGCCGCTCCTGAGGAGCTAGCTCCAACCTCAGGGCCCTTGCAGTAGCTGTTCCTCTGCCTGTCGCCCTTCCGTCCGCCTTTGCATGGGCAGCTGCTTCATATCATTCAGCTCTCAGCCTAAATGTCGCTCCTCAGAGCATCCCCTCCAGCACCTCTCTGTCTGCTTCACGGCACTTCTCACCCCCAGGCACTTTATGGAATTTGGTTTGTTGGCTTGTTTACTGTCTGCCTCCCCCTGAACTAGAGCATCAGCCCCGAGGGAGCAAAAGCCTCACCTCCCATGGTCACTGCTGTCCCCCAGCACCTGGAATACTGTCTGGCCCAGCAGTTGCTCAGCATATGTTTGCTGAATGAGATGCCTCCGTATTGGTAAGAGCCTGCCTCTCAGTCACGTCCCTCTTTGTGTACTCAGGCCACCAAGGGAGGTACCGTGAAAGCTGCCTCAGGATTCAACGCTGCCGAAGATGCCCAGAGCCTGAGGAAGGCCATGAAAGGGCTCGGTGAGTGTCCCGCTGGAGGCGAATCCTCCGTCATGCGCTGTACATCACGGAGTCACACAGGAGGGTACTGTGTGACTCTGGCAATCGTGAGTGGGACTCCTGTTAAGAAAACACACAGGAACAAATTGTTTTTCAAGACAAATTAGGTGGGACTGGGCATTCAGTCTTCATTTTAATAAAGAATTATAAATTTAATGCACTCATTATGGATTTCCAATTGTTTAAATCTGCTTTGAATTACAACATTAAGAATATGTATATAAGGACCGGGCGCCGTGGCTCATGCCTATAATCCTAGCACTCCAGAGGCCGAGGTGGGAGGATTCCTTGAGCTAAGGAGTTCGAGAGCAGCCTGAGCAAGAGCAAGACCCTGTCGCTACTAAAAATAGAAAAAATTAGCTGAGCATGGTGGTGCACACCTGTAGTACCAGCTACTTGGGAGGCTGAGGCAGGAGGATCACTTGAGCCTGGGAGTTTGAGGTTGCTGTGAGCTAGGCTGACACCATGGCACTCTAGCCCAAATGACAGAGTGAGACTCTGTCTCAAAAAAAAAAAACAAAACAATCTGTATATAAAACTTCAGAAATGTATTTGTTTTCCAAACAATTTGGTTCCCCCAATTGTTTAAATCTGCTTTGCATTATAACATTATGAATCTGTTTATAAAACTCAGAAATGTATTTGTTTTCCAGTTAGAGCTGGTATGTGTATAATGCCATAAGGTTTACAAAGCAATTTCACAAACATTATCTCATTGGATGTGTGCAAGAACCATGTGATTTAGTGAAAGCAGTTCTTACTGTTGTTATTTTAGCCCCATTTTACAGATGTGAAACTGAGACCCAAAGAAGCCCAGCAACTCTCACAAAGTCATGTAGTACGTGGAACTGAGCCGTGGCTCACACTTGGCAGGGCCCTGTCTCAAGCTGAGGTCTGACAGCTCTAAGTCCATGTTCTTTGCCTTGAGTCCCTCTGCTTGCCACAGCAGTGATGGGCACAGCGGCACTGTGACAGCACCGACATGCAGGTGTGGAGTTTAATGTGAGAAGGCTGATACTGTTTTCCAGTGTGCTACACTTCAAGGCCTCGTGCTGGGTGGGTCATATGGGGTGCACTGCAGGCTACCTGGCCTAGTCCCTGCCTCCAAGACTTGCCTGGGTGGACTTTCGGCCAGAGAAGTATCCCCTGGTTCTTAGCTGCTGTTTAGAATCTCCTTGAGAGTTGGGTAAAAACACTTGACCATCAGACCTTCTTTCCCAGGCTTTTGGTCCAAAAAGAGTTCGTTTTACTTAGCCTCATGCTGCTAACAGTAACAGCAACTGTAGCACTAATAGCAAACGTTTATTAAGCTCTACTCTGGGTCAGGCATAGAGATTTCCATAGATTATCTCTTTCAGTCTTGGCAGCAGCTTATTCTACTGTTGAGAAGTTGGGGTGTGGTGAGGTTATTTAACTTGCCCGAGGTCTCAGAACCAGTAAGTGGCAGAGTCAGCATTCTAGGCAATTTCTAGAACACTTTCCCTCCATCTTTGCATGGTCAGTGCTTCATGTCTGACTGCAGAGCTGGAGGTTAAGCCACTGTTCTATCCTACTGCCCACTTCTGAACAGAACATCGTACTGAATCTATGCATCTGTCTTCTCATTTTTCCTTTTTCATAAATAAAAGAGAAAATGTACTGGACCCACCATTTTTTTTCAGGTTTATCCTCCTAATTCTTTGGTATAGGCAAGAACACTTTAATTTAGAACATGTACCACATGGCATTCAAAATTATCAAAATAGGAGACATTTGGTACAAACAACCCTTTTTCATTGCCTGCTATGTGTGGGCCTGTGTGAAGCCAACTGTTGGAGGAGACAAGGACTATAAAAACATGTCCTTGTGGCCACATAGTCCATGGATGCTAGCATAGCTAAGTCATGCACAGATATAACTATGGCCAGTTCACATATGATAGGAAGGGTGCAAGTAAGATCCCACTGGAGTTCACGGAGAGGAGATGACATTTCATTAGGGGCATCAGGCAAACTTCTTGGAGGATGCAGAATTTCAGATGGGCCTTCGGAGATGAGTTTCAACAAACAGAATTAAAAGAGAATGTGTTTCAGGTGAATGGAAGGGCATGTGCTGAGGCCTAGGGGAGTTATGGTAAATACATGGAAAGGCAGCTTGTGACAGGAGGTACTTGCAAAGCAGGAGTAAGCTGGTTGGGAGCTTTCTGAGAAGGCAGTTACCAAAGGAAGGTCCGGGGTGCTACTATGAAAGCCACTTTTAAGAATCTCAGACATAGGGTGAAGGCCCAAAGGCACTGGCCAGGAAGCAACAAATGCCAGAATCATAATGCTGAAATGGAGGAGGTTGGGGAGACATATAAACCATTAGACTTGTAACAAGGAGGTCGGAAGAATGAAGTGCTATACAGTTGGATAAAGCATAATAATTCAAGAGCTAACCCTGTGAATTTAGCTGCTCTGCTATCCTTTATCTGGATGCTTATAGTAGTGAACGGGATATTGTAGACAGTGGAGTCTCAAATGCCGACTACAGCTCCTGTAGTAAATCCAGCAGATGGTGGGGAGCGTTTGTGTACTTCTGAGCAGGGGAGGGACATTGTTTTTCTTTTTAGGAAAAGAAGTTTTAGGAAAGAGAGTTTTTCTTTTTAGGGAAATAAATCTAGCAAGACTTTGGGAAGACCAATTAGGAGGTAAGAATTAGCAGACTTTTGCAGTCGTCGAGGAAGAAACCCTGAAATCCTGAACTGGAGTGGTAGTGGTAGGAATTTTAAAAAGGGGAAGAATGCAAAGAAGGTTATAGAGCAAGACTTTGCATGACTTGGCAGGAAGTTTGAATGTGAAGGAAGGGAGAGGGTAAAAAAAATCAAAGCTATGTTGAGGGTTCAAACTTGGAAGAAGAGTGGTGCCTTTCATAGAAACAGGAAGTGAGAAAAGGTGATGGACCATCTCCCCCAGCTGAGAGTGCTGAACGGGAAAAGGATGGTTGTATCTGTCATTCCCCAGGCACCCCCCCACCTTTTTTTATAAGAACAGAAAGTAGGTCCTTAAGGTATATAAACTTAAAGTTCTATAGCTTCCTCCCTACACCTTACATTTTTCTGGATCTTGAGTCTTGCAAGGAATAATATGGTGAACCTACATTTTTTTCATTTGTTTCTGAAATATTTCAAAGAACCACTTCTGTAACCTATCACAACTCCCCATACAGCAGAGACAATGAGAAAACAGAAGACTCACCAAACATGCAGGAACATCCAGCTGTTACAAAGACAAGGGACCCATTTGAAAAATCAGAATAAAGTCCCCTTTGTAAAAGCTGCTGTAAGAAACAGGCAAGCAAAACTTAATTTTAATTTGTAATTCATAACTTAAAGTTTTGGTAGGATGTTGTGTCGTGGGAATTTTTCAGCAGTTACATAAAGGGAACCATTTGAGTTCAGGAAAGATAGATTAGAAATAAACACAATTACAGATTTTAAAACACAGTGAATGCAGTGAGCAGGCAACTTATATTCTGCAAAATGCCAAGCCAGTGACTTAAAAGACAAATTTGATTTGTTTCAAAACTCAGAGGAAATGATAAGGAGACAAAAACAAGCAGAGAAAAGGTAAGACTGTAAAAGACAGATATAGGAGATCCAAAAGATGTGAAAAGAATTCCGGAGGAGGGGAAGAAGAATTACTCTGGTCAGCATTTATTGAAGGTTTAGTAAGTGCTGGGCACTTAATTATCTTACTTAACACTTGCAGCAGCCCAGACAGGGAAAGTCCTATTATCATTCACATGGATAGATAAAGAAATTAATGCTTAGAGAAGTTAACTATTTTGTTCAGTGGTAAACAGCTAATTCAAGGAGAGCCTAAGACTCAAATCTAGCATCTGTTCCCCAGTAAAATAGACAAACTCTCTGAAAAAGGACCTCTATTCTTAGAAAGCACTCTGTCTATGTTTGGGTAACCCATGTTCTCACTCCTCTCTCAAATCATACTCACTCACTGTCTCTGCTCTGCCCCAGGCACCGATGAAGATGCCATTATCAGAGTCCTTGCCTACCGCAACACCGCCCAGCGCCAGGAAATCAGGACGGCCTACAAGAGCACCATTGGCAGGGTAGGCCTACAAGACCACCTAAACCCAACCCTAACCCTAACCTCTCCTGCTCCATGGCTGATTTGCAGGAACTTGGCAGGCAACAGAGAAGAAGCAGGGCTCTCCCTGACCTAGATTCCTGAAGTGGTATGGCATTTTCAAAGATGGATCTTTTGTCTTGTTTAAAGATGTTCTTGGAAAAAAACCCAACAACAACAGCAACAAAAACAATTTCAACACATTTCTGTCACTATACTTATCCACAAGTGATTTCAGGGAGCTCTATGATTCACAGACCTCAAGGCCAAGCTTCATCCCTTCCCACCCAAGTTCTCACAGGACCTTAGTTATCGAATGGGCTCAACTATCACCCTTTTGAGCACCAGGCAAGGCTGAGCTTCCAGAGCTGCTTCCCTGGCCTCGATGGCTTCTTTTAGGCCACTACGGATGAAGACTCCCCAAAGTGACTAAAATGTTTAAATCCAGTTTGTTTTAAATAGGTTGTCCTAGGATTTAAGGTCTGTTTGGACTCTTCCACATGCATCTGCTTGTAGCATGCATTCATTCTTTTGATGCTCCTCCATGCAGGGGCACCCCCTCAAATTCTAGAGTGGGGCTTTATGCGTTCACATGTATGTTTGTATTTTAGTAGCTTATGCATTCAGATGTTGTTCACTTACCGTGTTTTCCCTTTCAGTTTGAATCCCATGCCCTCAGGAACCATCTCTTTTATCTCTATTTTCAATGACTCTTTTATCAGAATCATTCCACTCAATCTTTCCACATCATTGCAAACTCACTTATGTGGTTATCAAGAACCTTTTTATTGAGGAGGCATTATCAATGAGTGTCTCCAGGTGTCAGAGTACAGAAGCTCTATGTTAAGTATTTCTGCCCTGAGATACTTTTACAAACAGACGAACTGAGGCTACTTCTCAAAGACAGTATTAAACTGCTGGGTAGGGCCGGCCTGGCTCAGCTGTTCCCCAGAGCATCGTGTGCACACCTTGACTGGGAACCCCAGTAGGGAATGGGATTCCTGTGGTCAGAATTGCTCTGTCTTCTGGACATTTTAAACTCTTCTCCATCCTCACAGAAATTCAATGAACACAGATAGGCATTAACGTACCTGTGCTGTGTGAACTAGAGACCTAAACGGCATTGCCGCATGCATTCAGGATCGATGTTCAGCTTCACAACTAAGCTCATCGGATGGTAGTTTGTTAAGATGCCCAACATTAACTGATTGAGCACTAACTTGTTCATTCAACATGTATGGCTATAACATAAAAATATGCACAGTAGATCGAAACAAAGTGTGGAATCAGGTTCGTGAGAATCAGAGATCTGGGTTTGATAGCAGCTCAGCTCCTTATTGATTGATTAAGTCAATTGATCTTAAGAGGTTTCTTAAACTCTCTGACCTATTCTAGGAGGAAATGTGAATAAATGTCTTTAGAATTTGGTCCTTTGTCCAAATAATTATATTTCCTTTTAGGAATTGAGTCTTAAGAAATAATCATGAATGATCACAAAGATACAACTAAATGCCTTGTGTGTATAACAGTAGAAAAATAGAAACAAAGGACTGGTTAAACAAGTTATATTGCACCTATATTTATATTTAGAAATCTCTGCAGCTGTTACAAATGTGCTAGGTAAATATTGACTTGGAGGTGTATTCGGGATATACTGTTAAGTTAGCGAATACATTTAAGTCGGTGTCTACAAACATTTTGACCTCAAGGCCCCTTTATACTCTTAAATTATTGAGGACTTTTTTGTTTTTATGGATTATATCTATTGATATTGAACATATTAGAAAATAAAACTGAGGACATTTAAAAGTATATATTTGTCAACCTAGTAAAAATAACAATAAATGTATTATGTGTTACTATAAATAACATTTTAATGAAAAATAGGTGTATATTCCAAAACGAAAAAAATTTAGTGAGAAGATTGGCATTGTTTTAGGTTTTGCAGATCTCTTTAATATCTGGCTTAATGGAAGACAACTGGATTCTCCCATCTGTTTCTGCCTTCAATTTGTTACAATATGTGGTTTAGGTTGAGGTATATGAAGAAAATCTGGTCTTGTACAGATATGTAGTTGGTAGAGGGGGGAGTATTTTAATAGCCTTTTGACATAATTATTGATATATAGATAGGAGTAGCCTTACGAAAACTCCAGTGTACACACGTGAGAGAATGACAGTGAAAAGGCGAATATGTCTTATTATTATTATGAAGATAGTTTTGACCTTGCTGGCCCCTGAAAGGGTCTTAGAGACCCCAGGCATCCCTGGACCCCACTTGGAGAGTGGCTGGTTTAAGTTACTGTAGCAGTTAAGCGGAGCCACTTTCTCATGTTGCAGGACCTGATAGACGACCTGAAGTCAGAACTGAGTGGCAACTTCGAGCAGACGATAGTGGCGCTGATGATGCCCACGGTGCTGTACGACGTGCAGGAGCTGCACAGGGCCATGAAGGTTTGTTTGTGCTCCTCCCCGCATGCCCCTGGTGCTGTTAGTGCAAACACTGACAAGCTTCCTCCAGAAACTGCGACAAAGGCCTTCTGAGAGTAGGGAGGATGAAGTATAGGAGAAAGATTTTCCTTCATTTATGACAGCTTGAAAACATTACATTATGTTATAGCATTATAATTTAAAGTTGTTTTCCAGAAAAGTTAAAGAATCATTTATTTACTTCTTCCTGGTGGCTCAGTGGGGAGTGATTGTAGCTTTTGGTACAGTGGCAGAAACTGTCTTGTGGTGTTAACAACTTTTGAGATATATAAGCTTATGACTGACACCAGGGGGCCTCCAGGATTAGAACTGGCAAAAGGGGTCTCCCTAGATGACCAATCAGCTGTGCTCTAGCTGGGGTACGCCAATTTTTAATGACCAAATATAAAATGCAAATCTAGATGGTCCCTGACTTAGGATGGTTCTACTTACAATTTTTCAACTTTATGATGGGTTTATCAGGACGTAACCCCATTGTAAGTTGAGGAGCATCTGTAGAATTCCCCTCCTCAACCATGTCCACAAGTACTTAGCCTTGTGGAATGTTCTGGGCTAGGCTCTGGGAAAGCAAAGAGGTGACAAAGTCTTTGCCTGAAGGTTCTGTCCTTCAGAGGAAGAGAACAGAGGAGGTCAAGGAAAGATTAAGCCCCCAGAAAAGCAGAAACTGTACCTAACCTGGCACGATAACCAACACATAATAAACAGTCTATAAATGTTTGTTATTACTAATAATTATTATGGCAAACACATTGGATTTGGGTCAGAACAATTAAAAGTTAACAGATCATGTTGTGAGAACCCAGTGGGTCGTCTTCATTCTCTGCAGATTCATGGGTGTGTTCCTTCTGTGTCTGGGACTCAACTTTGTAAACTGGCTCATATGCCCCCCTCCTCTGGTTTCGTGTTTAGGGAGCCGGCACAGATGAGGGCTGCCTGATCGAGATCCTGGCCTCCCGGACCCCTGAGGAGATCCGGCGCATAAACCAGATCTACCAGCAGAGTATGTGACATCCTCACTGGCCCTGGCCACATTTTTGCTGTGATTTGAGAATGAGACTAGCAGCCAGTGGTTATCCACTAGTTAGACTCTCTTCATAGAAACGCAGGCCATGAGGAATCCTAGGTGCCAAACTCTGCCTTGAGGCAGATCCCTGTCGAAGCAAACAGCTGACTGTTGGCTTCTTAAGACTTCTCACATGAAGATGCCACTCTACTTGGGCTATCCAGTGTAGTATTTTTTTTTTTTTTTTTT